CCCCAAAACCCCAAAACCCCAAAACCCCTTAAGATAAGAATATACTTATGAATGAGAATTAATTAGAAGAAATTAGGATTATAATTATAAAAAAGCTAAATATATCAAACATGATAAGAATTTTGTAGGACTCAAACGCTTTTGTAATGCAAATCGTAGAAATTAAACATCTATAGCGATAATTCAAGAGAATAGTTCTATTGATCTAGATTGTCTTGCTTTATTGTAATTAAACTTAAATAGCAGCAAATTTAAATATAGAATCATAAGCGTAGACATGCCTACTTACAACGCCTTTACCGAGCACATCATTAAATGCTAACACTGATTATTACATTACTTATACACCTTCAACTTACACCAACAGTAAAATTTGATTCTAGAATATTGATAACCTCAATCTAATAATTAGTGAATAAGATTAGGATTTCATTTTCTACTTCCTTGTATAAGATCAATAGTTGCACTAAAAATTCTGATAGCTTAGACACCTGCACTGCAGTAAGTGCTTCAGGCTATGTCGAATCTCCAGCCTTAACTACTACTAGTGGGACCTCATACTCTTTCATTGTATTTAAAGTAGAAAATAACTCTAATAGATAAATATATAAAATCCGTATTCAGTTTAGTCTCTCTCAGGAATCTCTTGTCTGGTATTGAGCGCATCTAGTTCTACTATTTAAAGCACTGGCTTTAGTGTTGGATCAACTGGATTCGCATTAAAAAGCTTAAGTTATGCGAGTAAGTTTTCATTGAATCACCTTATATTGCAGCTGCGACAGTGGCGACTAGTGCAGGTTCAAATGGAGCGACATCAACTTGGACTATTAGCATCCCTTTGTCAAACAAAATACCAGCATACGGAAAAATTAATTTAACTTTCAAACCACTCACATCATCTTACACCTCCTATGGTGTCTCTGATAGTAAATAAAATACTCGGCTTATTATATTACTTTAGCTACTGCTTAGTAAGTACTGTCAACATCATCAACTTTCACATGCAAATATGCCTCTGTAATATTTTTGTTTTAACTATTAAAGGCAACTACATCTTGTTCATCCAGTAAATTGGCCGTTTCAACTAGTTAGAGTTCAGTATTAATAACATTTTCATCTTCAGTGCTTGCAGCTGGTGGAACCCTTTAACTTTTGGTAGCCAATGCTAAGAATCCTCTATCATCTTAACCATACACAGGATTAACAATGATTTCTTATGAAAATTCTAACTTGATTGATACTTATACTTTACAAACTGGTGTTTCTACATCCTCAGCATCTCAGAGTGGAACAACTTCAAATATTTATAATTCAAAGACTCTTATTAAGGATACAAATGCTGAGTATTTCTTCTAATTCACTACTATTAATCCAATTCCAAGTTCGGGGTTTCTTCAGATTACAGTTGGTAGTGGCATCACCTTACCAGCAAGCTTCAGTTCTTGGGTATTCAAGGCATATGATACTGAGGTTTCTGGAGCTTCATTTAGTGCATCTGGCCAGGTTTTGACTGTAAAAAATATCATATCAACTTACCTCAAGGGAGGTACTGATTACTAATTTTCAATTACTGGTTGGACAAATCCCATAGATACAACTGCAGTCTCTTTTTCTATCGTTACTGCTGAAGCGACTTCAGGCACCACTTACTCTATTGACACCTTCTCTGGCTTTTAAATATAAGCTGCTTTAGGAGCTATCTATGTTCTCAGTTTAAAGCCAACAGATGATTCAAGAATGCTATTATTCCCAACTAATTATACTATTCAGATTTAATGCAAGACAAGCATTGCAAGTACTGACTACTTAGAGATAATATTTCCCAGTGAGTTTGATGTTGCTGATTCATCATCATGTAAAATCTCTGGTTTCTATTAAACATCTACAACTTGTACATCATCTTCATCAAGTAGGACAATAACTATCAAGAAGCTTTCAACCTCAGCAATTAGCTCAATGAATACAATCACATTTACTGTTAATTCTATCAGGAACCCTGCAATTTACGACAAATCGAACCAGATTATATTCAATCATAAAACATCGATTGGCGTAATTTAAGATAGTGGAAAATACTATGTTCCCAAGAATACTTACACTCAAAGCTATATAAATACATTTAAAGTAACTCCAGGAACTACACAAGCAGGAGGAAAAGTTATATCATATTAATTTTCAATCTCCCCAGCTGCTTACATTCCCAAAGGAGCTTTAATAGCAATATATCTACCTGAGGAGGTTACGATTAACAGCGCATCAAATATAGAATTCAGTTGTGGTGGAACCTTAAGTGGCTTCACAAGTTCACCTCTCTTATGCTAAGTAAAAAGCAGTAACAAAATCGTAATACAAAAAGGATTTACTTCAGCTAAATCTGTAAACGATCCTCCGACCATATCATTTACGATTCCCAGTCTAAATAATCCAAGATCACTGGAACCCTCAAAAATATTTGGTGCCTAAATATTAGATTCATCTAGTAGAGTAATTTACGCCTGGAATAATACGGAGACTCCATACGCTACAATGAAAACCTCAGGAGTTCCATCAAAATTTTTACTCTCAAGGACAAGTACCTAGAATTCAAATTTGACTAATTACATTTTCAATATAACCCCCTCCCTTTATTACCAAGATAATGACGTAATAAAAATTGTTGCTCCATCTCCAATTGTGTTTACAAATTCATCGAGTTGCAAAGGCCTTGTTTCTCTTGCGTCTACTTTAACATGCAAAAAGTCTACTGACTTCAAATCAATTGAGATTAAATTAAGCACATCAAGAATGAGATATCTTGCTTAGATCGCTTCTGGCTCTCTCATATCAATTTAGGTTTCAAATGTCTAAAATTCAGTTTCAACTAAAATGACTTCTTCAGGATTTGCTGTCTATGCATAAACATCAAATGGATATGTGATTGAATCTTCAACTACTGGACCATATGTTGTAAATACTGAGGCTGCTGTTCTTAATTCTCAAAAAGCAAATGTTTAGCCGAGTAACTATATAGAGAATAAAAGTGCTGTCTATTAATTTCAATTCGTCACAACTGGTTTCTAGTAAAATATGAGAATTAAGATTACACTACCTACACAAATAAACTTCATAGGTACCTCATTGAAATGTCGAGGTATACATGGAGTTGATAAATAAAATTTAACATGCATAATCAACAGTGCTGACAAGAGCTTCTCAATAAGTGATGCTCTTACAAACTAAGAAATTGCACCGAATAATATCACATTCTCAGTAGATTCTCTATTGAATCCAACTAAAAGGGAACTAACTTCTTCATTTAAGATTGAAACCTTTACAAACGACAGTTATGCGATTGATAAATTAACTGCTGACCTTGCACTTGATTTCTTTTGCGTTTATCCATGTAAAACTTGCAATCAATCGAATTCATCTCAGTGTTTTTCGTGTTATAGCTTTGTAAGTGAAAAATATTTCTTTTAAGATTAGTGCTTTGAAGACTGTCCAGCTGGATATTTTAACAGAGATAATAATACCTGTGGCAAGTGTAACTCGCCTTGCGCAAAATGCAAATCTACAGCTGATCTTTGCACATCTTGCATCGATTTATATGTGTTAGGAGGCAATGGATAATGCTATGAAAAAGTTATTATTGCAAATTTATATCCTTTCCCATTCAGTGTATTCGCAGTCTTTGCAACATTTTCTGCTTGGATAACAAAATGCTTTGCCAAAAAGACTAAATTCTTGCAATCAGCCATAGCACTGTGTGCATTTCCTGAAATGATAGCTTGGATTTCAGCAACATTCATGCTCTCATAATTTGGAATGGCCTTTAGTGCCTTTTTAGTTTTTATAGGCATTGCCATTCATATTCTTATGAACTTCACTTATTGTCTATTACATCAACGCATATTTTTAAGGAGATCAGATCAGAAGTATTTAGATTTTTTTAGAACACATAATAATTGTAACCGGATCACACTTGTGGTATCCTTTGTATTCTCATTCAAATTTCATATGATATCTCTTTCACATTGTGCAAATGGTGAGCATTTGAAAGGCTCTTGGAATAAGTTTTAATGGCTACTTTGGAATGCCATTGTCCTTCTATATATTATACTTTCATTAGCCCCGATGGTCTTTGGATGTATTCATGAAATTTTAATGGCCCCTGAAAAAATGTTTACTTTTACCTGGTATATTACTTTAGACTGTATAATAGTGACTATATACATGGCAATTTTACTAATTATCCTCTTAATTAGATATGCACCTTGCATAATAAGCAGGAGAAAAAATAAAGCATTGCTCTATAATAGAGTGGAAAATGAAAATTCACTTCTCAATGATGATTAAAACCAACATACAAAACTTAACATTTAAAAATTAAATGAACTTGATAAAGAAAAATTCGAAAGACAAATAGAGACAGATGAGGGTGATGCAAAAACCCGAAGAAGAGACACTTAGTAAAATGAGGAATAAGCTGAAATTGAGTAGTTGCAAAATTTCATTAAATAATTAGAAAAAGAAAGCTTGATAATTGAATAGGATGAAAGGAAAGATATTATTGATGAAAGAAGTAAAATTCTTAAGGAAGAGGAAGACAAATTGCTTGAAAAGTAACCCGAGGAGTTAAGAGATGTCAAAAAGGATTTCTTAAATTAAGTAGATAAAAGAGTATCACTTAAAATTGAGCCGTGGGAAATAGAGTAGCCGACTCCAGAACCTGAGCCAATAATACTTCCAAGAATTAATCCAGTATCAGAAAGTGTTTATAACTATTATGAGTAATTGTTCTCAAATGAGAGAGGAATAAAACTTCCAAAGGCATCATTCGAAAATTTAAAATAAGATGAAAGATCAGGCTTTAAGAATGAAATAGGAGGATAAATATTGCCTAAGAAGCGAATCTTTGAAAAAGTAGAATACGAAATATAAGAAAATGATTAACAGGAAACAGATGATGATTTGGATGAAATCGAGATGAAAGACGAGGTTGCAGATGATGTGAAATTGAGAAACAATGTGCTTTACAGTGATAAATCTGAGTCAAGTATAGATGATATGATGGAAGACACCCCATCTAATTATAACATTCCTAATGGAAGACTTGACGGTAAATCATTAGGCCTCAAAGCTCTACTACTGTAAGCAAAGAAGTAAGGTATCAAGCTTGATGTAGAGAAAACTGGAACAGGCTTAAAGTTAGCAGGAAATAATAATATTTTGACTAAACCCCCCAGAGTCAAGGAAGAAGAGGAAAAGAAGTTCATTAACAATCTGTTTAGAAATAGTAATGATCTGAATTAAGCAACTGGAAGATCAAATAATCTTAATACAAACAACTCACTAAAGCATGACTCTTTGGAGCATACAGGAAACATGAACGAGAATTCAACTTTAGAAATAATGGAGAAGAATCAGAAAAAGAAAAAGAAGGTTCAGAATCAGAAATAATTCAAAGAGAGTCCTGAATAAGACAAGATCAAGGGTATGATATCCAAGAATGCAACATAGGACTTGGATGCTAATAAGAAAAGCTCTAAAATGCTCTCAAAATCCCCTGTTAAAAATAATAATGAGGACATTGGAAAGGTAAAAGCTAATAATTTCTTCTGAAAGATAGAGAAATATTTATGATTATAAACTCACAAATATATATATGATTATTTTGGAATTCTATTTACATTAATTTATTAATTCATTGTGGGGTTTTGGGGTTTTGGGGTTTTGGGG